GAAGTTTATATATAAGCTATTGTGTATAATAGAACTGTTTCCTTTTTAATGGTTTGCTTCTTAGTAATTGCTATTTTCAGGTATTGGTGAAATATATAACAGGACTGCTCTAATCAACCATTTATGTTTTACAGACATTGTTGGCACTGTTAATTAGCTCAAGTTTTAAGAAGTTGAAAGCTGATGTGCTTTTGTACAGTGTGTTGCTAAGATGATTTTCACTCGTGTGTGTGTGTGAGAGAGAGAGAATTAATCAACCATCCAAGTACTTGGTAATTCCATTTGCCACTGCATTCTCTTTGCTTGTAAATGATATCTTTGAAGTTTATTAAAGGAATGAGTCATGTTGTAGCTTCCTAGGAGTTTTTCCCCTCTGTAATCATACATTTTTCATGCTGCTCCAATCATAATCTGCATAATGAATGAGGGGAAAATATTGCTCTATACAGCTGAGCCTTTGAGATATACATTACATTATTTGGGTGTCTGGTTGCTTTTATATAGGCACGTTTAAAATCTCTTCAAACTTCCAGTGCAGGGTTAAATTAATGTACTTTCCTGTTCAGTACTCCCTCTGCGTCTCTTCTGTCTTGCACAGTGCATCTGTTACCTCACTGGTACTGAGCTACAGTATGCTGCTTTAATATCCTTCACTTGGGTAGATTAACGGAGGCAGCCCACCATAAATTAAAAATGTGAAAAATAATTGTTTCCAAAATGTGTGCAGTTTCTAATTAATGCTATTCCATTTCTTCTTCAGGACGTTTCCACTAGCCTAAGAGTCTCTGCTGCTTGTATGGTTTCAGAGTAACAGCCGTGTTAGTCTGTATTTGCAAAAAGAAAAGGAGTACTTGTGGCACCTTAGAGACTAACCAATTTATTTGAGCATAAGCTTTCGTGAGCTACAGCTCATCACTTGCCCCCATTTCAAGCCTTTGCAGTGTAAGGACTTGGCCCTCTTTTTAGTGCTGAGCACATTCAACTTCAGTACCTAAATTTTAAACTCTTTGGGGCAGTGACTGTCTTTTTGATCTGTTTGTTCTGCTCCTGGCCCAGTGGGGTCCTGGTCTCTGAGTGTGCTTGAGAGGTGCTACAGTAATGCACATGACATCGCTGGAGGTTTGAAAGAACAGGTTAGACCAACACCTGTTGGGAATGGTCTCCTTATTACTTAACCCTCCCTGCCTTGAGTGCAGGGAACTAGAATAGATGACCTTTTTAGGTTCTTTCCGGTCCTATATGTCTATGATTCTATAATAAACGTTAATAACACCTGCAGGATTGGGTCTTCAGAATGTAATGCTGGAAAGGATCAGGGCTCCATAAACATTTGGTGGAGATGCAAATACTGATTAAAAGAAACCGAAGTTTCTTTCCATAGAAAAAGGTTTCAAAACATAATCCTCCATAGAATTGCATGTGCTCTGTTTTTAAAGGCACATATCTGATAGCATTTTGGGACCAAATAAAACATCCCCAATCATGAAGCAAAGATAATAAAATGGCCAGTGGGAATGTGGCGCCAACGGGGCCAACTTTTTACCGGAGTAGAGGAACTCCGGTAAAAGCAAGAGCACCTCTTGCCCTCACGCTCTCATTGGCCGTTGTATCATCTTTGCTACTTGGTTGGGGATGTTTTATTTGATCACAGAGATGCACTTGGCCATAAGGGGTGTGCAGGGATGGCATGGAGCCTTAACATGATGTAATTAGCTGAATTCACAGCAGATGCTTGAGTGAATACACTTCAGGGATGGCCTTGTGGATTTTTAAGTATCCAAAAGCTGTGTGAGTAAATCAGACCTGTAGATGGCATGTGGGTCAACAGAGCAATTTAATGCATCTCCTATGCCATATCCTTCATTTTGTGTACTAGCAAGGGGAGTTTGTAATGGTTTCCATGCTGATCCTTATTGACATTAACATCCATAAGAAATGCATGGTATTCAAACACTTATTTCCTTTCTAATATTTAAGTAGAGCCGGGCAATGTGATTTTCTTCCCTATTCACTTTGTACATTTAGAGCCCAGTCCTGTAAGGTGCCAGATGTCTCCTGAACAATACTGAGCATTCTTGATTCGACTGTCTTCACTGGGAATTGAAGGGAGGGATTCTCCCATTGGTATAGGTATTTGACCTCCCCTAGACACGGTAGCTGGGTCGATGGAAAAATTCTCCTGTCAACCTAATGCTGTCTACACCAGGGCTTTGGTCAGTTTAACTGCATCACTGAGGGGGGTCTGGATTTTTCACACCCTTGAGTGATGTAGTTATACTGACTTAATTTCCTAGTGTAGACCGGGTCTTAGAAGGGAGGGAAGTGGCATGTTCAGAACCCTGAATTTATGAAAAATGTGTGGCTTCCCCCAAATATTCAAATGGCGCACATAAACTAACAGCCTGCAAAATTTCAGTGTAGATAATGCTGCAGGTTTTGAATTGTAGAACTACAAAATAGCCTCTGAAACTAGGATCTTTTGTTTCTTTTTGCATGGCTGAAAAAGCCAAGGAGATCTTCTTTACCTTGTTTAAAAATCTACCTGTCATCTGGCAGAGGCCTTATGTTCCTGCTTTCATCTTGGAGCCAATATTTGTCCGAGTTACACTGTCATGAAAATAGAGCTAGGTACAGTAATGGGGAAAAAAAAATAAGCATACTTTTCTTTAAGCCAGAGGAGTTGTTACAACAGGAGTCTTTGTCACTTTTTTTTTTTTTTTTGAGTTCATATTACTGAGCAGTTCAGATTTTTTTTTTCTCAGGGTTGTTGAGAAATAGAAGTCAGGAGGTGGGAGTGAGACAGAGGGAGAAACAGAAAGAAGGTCTTTCTGAAGTGAAGCAAAGGAAACCAGGGTTGTCACGAGGAAGGAAGGGGGTGTTGGATGGAAGGAAGGAAGGAAGGGGCCACTGGTTAGGGATGCTGGCCTGGGATATGGGATACCAGAGTTCCATTTCTGGTTCCCCACAGGCTTCCTATGTAACCTTGTGGAAACCATTTGGTCTCTTTGTGCTTCAGTTCCCCATCTGTACAGTGGGGGTAAGAGCACAGCTCCACCTCCCAAATAGAGCTCCTTGTGCTTCGACCGAGTTGTTTGTGATTTAAGTCATGGTAAGTGAGGTGAGAACTGGACCCAATGAGTTGAGGCTTTTGATATAAAATTCAGATCTTTCATTGTTGTGCATTCACAAATAGCACCTGCCTTCTGAGGGCTCTCCATGTGCACTTTACTGCTTTATACTGCTCCTTGACCCCCTTACAAATGAGCAGATTTGATCTCAAAGCTTTCCAAAGAGTCAGAGTAATTTCACACTTCATGCACTTGCACAGAGGGTTAGGAAACATTTGCATGCCTGCAGTATGACTTTTTTTTCTTTCCTTTGAAATTAGAATGGGAGTGTGCATCCTTGAGGTTTGGGTGGGCCATCCGTTTTCTTACCTTCGTCAACCCCTCCAGAACAATATCTAATGGGTTTGTTGCTGGTCCTCATGTTGGCATTGTGTGTATTTTACTGTAATTCCCTACTGTCTGTTTTATGCAGGCTGTTTTATCCTTTTAGAATAGCAGTGGCAGGAAATTAAAATGGCCAGTAGTGAGTTATGAGATCTTGGGATGCAATCAGTTGTGGAAGTAGAACAAAGCGCATTACTATCAGTGGACTAGCTGACCTGTAGCAGCAGAAATGCAGTCTGTGCTGGCCTATAGCTAAGTCCACCATTTGCAGCAGCCCCACAAGATGGCTTCCAGTTGTGGAGATTTCTGTGGAAGGCAGGCTCTGGTTTCCAAAAATTGCATAGTCTGAACCACATTTTAATAATAATTGTCTCCTGCACATCCCATTCATAACTGTGTGGCCTATCTCCCCTTTTCTTATTTATGATCTCCTTACACTTCTGGCAACTACAATTGTGTATCCTGAAAAGTAATAGTAGCGAGTTAGTGGGTGTATTTTCAATTGTCTCTTAAATAAATTTAGAAGCTTCAAATGAGAGCCAGTTCTTTAGGGCAATGGCTCTCAACCGTTCCAGACTACTGTACTCCTTTCAGGAGTCTGGTTTGTCTTGTGTACCCCAAATTTCACCTCACTTAAAAACTACCTGCTTACAAAATCAGACCTAAAAATACAGAAGTGTCACGGCACGCTATTACTGAAAAAGTGCTTACTTTCTCATTTTTGCCATATAATTATAAAATAAATCATTTGGAATTGAAACATTTTACTTAGATTTCATTGTATAGTATAGAGCAGTATAAACAAGTCATTGTCTGTATGAAATTTTAGTTTGTACTGACTTCACTAGTGCTTTTTATGTAGCCTGCTGTAAAACTAGGCAAATATTGAGATGAGTTGATGTACCCCCTGGAGGACCTAACAAAATTTAATACGTGTACCCCTGGTTGAGAACTACTGCTCTAGGGAGCAAAATTTAAAAACCACTGGGACAGAGAGTTCATTTGTGAGGGGATGGAAGGAATTATTCTCTTGTAACTTTTTACATTTTATTAGGCTGCTGTACATACAGTAATACTTTATACTGTGATAGTACCTTCCTTCCGAAGATCTCAAAGCTGTCTATGAACATTAAAGGTGTGGTTTTCAAAGGCACCTAAATGGCATAGGAGCACAAGCCCTATTGACTTTTGCTATGTTGCTGCTGCTGTTTTTTTTCACATCCTAATGCATTAAAGTGTGTGAGTTAGAAGGGGTGGATTAGTCCCATTTTACAGAAGGGGAAATTGAGGTGTGGATTACCAAAAATGGTGGAGAGAGAGCCTTCCGCAGAGGTGAGAATATCTCTTTATTCTCTTCCTATGTCCTTGCTGCAAGACCATCCTTCCCCATCCAACACACACTTGGCTGATAATATGGGTGAAATTGTCAAAAAGGAGCTCACAGAGTATAGCTAAGTGTGAATTGTACATGTGCGTGTGTAAATGCTGCCTTAAATTTGTAGTCATCTTAAAAAGACATTTGGTAATTACTTCAACATGTTTCGACAGGGAGTGACATACTGCGGTGAAAACTTGGCCAGCAACTTAACCATGGCCAATGTCCCCTGGCACGAAGAGGTGGTGCATTTCGTCCGGGAGTTGGCTGACCTGATTCCAGACTATGACATCGCGTGTGAACATGAACACTCAAACTGCCTCCTGATAGCTCACAAAAAGGTAAGGCGTCTCTCTCCTGGCGGGTGAAACAGACACTGCATAGAAAGATTTGACGCCTCACTTCCAAAAAGCTGTAAGCTGCTGAGTCTAAGCAATTGCTTTACTTCAGCAGGATTTTCTTTCTAGGTTTGGAAGATTAGCTTTTTAAAAATCCCTTAATGCAGTTATCCCATGGAGCTCTGTGGATTAGTTTTGGAGATTGTTATGGGTTCAGTGACTGCCCTGTTACAACCTGCAGTACTGTCCTTGATGACACAAGCAAGATCTTGAAAATATCAGTCAGTCATTTGGCTCTCAAAGAAAATGAAAGTCTCTCTCTTGCTGTCTTTGCTTTGTATTTTTTGGCAGCAGGAATAAACTAAATGGGGATGGGTTGGTTGTTGCTGTCTCCCGCCCCTATTTCTTCTTTAATAATGCTGTTCAGCAATGAGTGTCCTCATGCAGATTAGACATTGAAGGGGCACCAGAGCTTAGAGGGGTTCGGGTTATATATACATATATATATATATTTTTAATCATTATTCCTTTTACTCCCAAGTTGGAGGAGCACTGGGGACTGCGTTTCTTCTTTGAGATAAACAATTTCTACACAAGACAAATTGATATGTGGGTGTTAAGCATGGAAAAATTTCCCCTCAGAACAGCTTGATGTATCTGGTTTGCAGTATCTGAGAGGTCTCCGCAACTGTATTTCTAGAAAACTGATTTTAAAGGACAAACAATAAAGCAGCTCTGTTATAATTTCATACACTCTCTATCCATATAAATGATAGATAAACAACTGTGAAACTACTACTGCTGTCATAACAGCAACACCAGCCCAGCAGTTCTGTCAGGCACTGAAATACTTTGTAGGCAAAGCATGTTTCAGTGGCGCATATATGTATGTGTATATATAATGTATGTTTCTTATAAATGCCATCAAAGTAATTTGAAATGCATGTGAAATGCTGAAAGGATGGTTAATTTTTAAGCGTGTGGGGTTCAGAAAATATTGTACTATTTGGCATTCTGTTGTACAGGAAAACATTTTAAAATGCAAAACGAAGGACTTGCTAGGCAGCTGATGACATCACTACTTCTTATTTCGGTATTAGATTATGCTGTGTGTGTCTGTCTGTGTGGTATTCACCTGTTACCTCTGATCATTTACTTAAATTGTGAACTCCTTTTGGGGCTGTTCTCTTGTCTCCTGCGTGTACGGTGCCTTGCAGACACCGACTTGCAGAAAATCAGAAGTTATTTTTAATTGGTGTTTGCAACTAATTATAGTGGCTGAAAATGTCCAGTAGGAAATTTTCAAAGGTGCCAAATTCACATTAAAAAAACAAGTGGGGGTATGTGTGGAGTAGGATTAAAAAAATCTGACATGCTACTTTCTTGGCCCATGTCCTCATAATATTTCCTTATTTTTCAATTCAAATCTTATGTGGTGGAACTGGTAGCTGTGCCAGAGTGCATTCACAATGGAAAAATCTCTTCCATAGCAAGGTGAAAGTCTGGCCTAAGGAAAGGAAACCAATTTTTCCCTAGGTCATTGATACATAATCTAAGTAACACCATTATTAACAGTAACAAGAATAGATGGATACTAACCTGTGAGGAATTCTACAACTACTTTGCTTTCTAAATTCATGAGGAGAGGGTGTCTGTTGGAGGCAATCAATACCCAGGAGCTAAAATAACTAATAAAAAGTAAATTTATTTCTACTCCTTTTTAATTCTGGATTTCAAGCTCCAGTAGAGAATAAAACTCATCAATGTTTTACTTGTGGAAAACCAGAGCTATGGGAGCCATTAGGCTGCATAAAAGGAACCTTTTAAAATAAAAAAGAGTGGAGAAAAAAGGATAGTAGAAATAATTAAGAAACTTCATTTGCTTCATTCTGTTTGGCAAGATCTAGCTGTTTTTATTAAGTTCAAATTAAAAAAAATCCAACCCTTCATTGAAATGCCTGCATGTTCAAGAGAATTTAAAAATGGCACATAGAGAGTGAGCTGTTTAATACCTGTTTTGTCTTAAATTAGGGGCATTGACTACCAACTGCTTTAAATATGGATAATCACTTAAGCACTTTTGAAAATTTCACCCTAAGTCCCATTGTCAAAAGGACTTGGGCATTTGGGTGGCTGACTCATTGATAGTGAATGTGATTTAGGGGCCTAAATCCTTTTTGAAAATAGGACTTGGGCACATTTGAAAATTTTATCGTTCAGGCCCAATGCAATTCCCATAGATGCTGGCTGAAAGACTCCCATTTATTTCAGTGGAAATTGAATCTGGCTTTCAGTGTTGCATTAGCCACTGTGATTAAAAACACTTGGTTAATAGATCAGTATTAACCTGTAGATGAAGAAGCTGATACTTGTACTATTTTGAGGTTGGCTTGAAACTATCTGCTGTAGAGTAGCCATTGCTAGCAAGTGCCATTGTGTTCAGTGAAGGTAGATAGCCCTGTAGAAGCAACATTAGTAGTCCCCTTAGCTATCTGTTTCTTGCTTGTATTGCCCAGTGTGTGCCACTTTCAGAAGGTGTCAGTCCCACTTGTCTCTTCTGTGTCCTCCCAGTTGTGTCTTTTCTTAAACGGATGACTTCCACCTCCCCTTGCGAGGTGTCCAGAGTATTCCAGCTCCCTCCCGTCTGATTATATTTTCCCAGCATAGCTGTTATAGTCTCAAGTAATTGCATTTGCTTTGTGGCAAATCCTATGAACAGTCAAGTACAAAAATCTAATTTATTGCAGTGCTTTTGAATTAATTGGTGGAGATATTGAGACAGTGGCAACTTTCTAATTTAACAATTAATTCTAATAACCTTTCCAGAGAGAGAACTTAGGCAGCTGGTTTTCCTTGTGTTGTAACAATAAATGGTATCCTTGAGACAATCAGAGTGAGTGACTAATAAGGGAGAAAATCTTCTGCAGATGCCTCGCAGCAAATATCTTTTTGAATGAAAGTTACAATCGCAGTAATTTCTGGAATAAAAACGTCTGCTTCTCTTTTTTTGTTTTGTTGGATTTGTTTTACCCTGGTGTTTGCCATGTATTCCATTGTGTTGAAACCCTTGCTTGCCAATTACATTCTATTATACTGATTTTAAATAACCTACCTTGCTTTTGTGATGGGTTTGTTTTCCATCAATGCTGTCTCTGTCGCTTTACATTCCTGGGTTTCTCATGAGTGCTATTTGTATTTGTAGTACCTTTCTTGCTTTCTACTTCTGTTGCTGTTCATTTTTGATCAGCTAAAAGCAAGTCCTTAACACTGAAGGATTATTTTTAAGAATTTAAGTATTTTGTGAGCTTCTTCCTTGTTGGTGTAGTGATGAGTATCCCCACCTGTCATAAGGGGCACCTGGGTTTTTTCTCCCTGCCAGGAGACTGCATTTTGAGGTGGCCAGTTGGACATGGCATTGGGCTACTACTGTATTATGTTGTGCATGCATGGGTTCGAATCCCACCTTCATCAGTCTTTAGGAGATTTCAGTAGTGTAGTTGCCTATCATGTGGAAGGTCCCCAGTTCGAAACAGGACAGAAACAAATCAAAGTTTGGGGTAAACAGGTAAAATCCAAAGGCCTGTGTTACACAGGAAGTCAGTCAAGATAATTGAATGGTCCCTTCTAGCCTTAAAATCTGTGAATTGACAGACCTTGTAAAGGTGGATCTGAATCCAAACGGTGGATCCAGAGATCCCAAAACTTTGGGAATGTTTGGCTCTGGATGTGACGGTTATAGCTCAAACCCTCTCTTGTGTTCTACATTGTCTGCAGGTTTCAGCACTGGATTTTGTGGGCTGCAGTGCTTTAGAATCAGTATGTCCAAGTAGGGTGAGTCCTGACCCACCAGAGGGTGGCGGGTGGGTTCTACATGGGTCTGTGTAAGCTTCAAAGCTTGTCTTTCTCATCAAGAGAAGCTGATCCAATAAAAGATATTATTCTTGTCTCTCAGAAAGATCTACAGCATTTTATTTCCTTCCTGTCCCTAACAGTCCCACCTTTTGCAGGTCAATTTTTGGGTATAAGTATTCTCTGTCCTCCTAGAACCTGGGATCCAAAATCTGGACTGCATTCTCTTCGTGTTTATGCTAGTTTGATGTCAGCGTAACTGTACCGACAACAGTAGAGTTGCATGGTGAGAGGAGAATTGAACCTCCACTGCCATAAATTTGAACCAGATATAAAACATCCCTGTGTTTACAGCAGGCAGGGAGACCCATGTAACTCCTTAATCTGTCCAGGAAATAGTCTAACTTCTCGACAGCAATATTATTGCAGGCATGGGATTGTAACTTGATGCTTCTGTGATTTTCTTTAGTGTCGCTCTCAAAATATGAGGTTGGTTCTGCTGTGCTTGATCTGTTAGTTATTAAAAAGGGCACTGTGGTTATTCTGAAGTAATCCATTTTTCATCCATTAGAATTAAAACTGTCTGGGTGTATCTATGGCTTAATTGGTAGATGGGCTGCTCCATAATGATGGTAAGAATTATATATTAAAAAAATCTACAATAATGCATCTTTTATGTAGAATAATCTGTATAAGATTAGACTTAATAAATAGCAGCTAATAAGTTACAGAAGAGAGATCCCATGTGTGGATGGCATTATGCCACTGTACCGAGGATGGTACAGACATTTTGCAAGGCTTTTACTCTTTTAGAAAGTGCGATAACAAATTGAATGTATAAAACTTTATCAGTGCTAAATTTGGATGATGACACCAGATTGTCTAAACTGGTGATAATGCTGTTAAAGGGTTTAAAAAAAATCACTGATCATGTGACTAGGGTACTTATGGACAGAGAAAGATTGTTGGGGGGAAAATGGAAATCTTCAGTGTGATTGTTCATGGATGGTGGTTTTTAAGATTTCTGGAAGGATATAGTTCTGCACCAGTATCATTGTTCCCCAGCGGTCAGTGCCGATATACTGATTTTTGTTTTACCCCTAGGGTATAGTATGTGGTAAAATTCTCATAATTAGATGTCCCATACACTGTTA